CTCTCATCAGAATGTTTTTCCCTTCCTTTCCCAAAGTTTAACTCCTCCTCATCTGCCAATTTCATAGCAAGTGTCACCTCCTGACCTCCCAGCCTAAGTCAGGCCCTGGGGCACCAGCTACCTCCCTTCTGTGGCACTTACCACTTCTAGGATGTGAGTTCCAGGGATCTCTGTTTGCTGCTGTGTCCCTCCTGCCCAGCACCCAGAACAGTGCCTGGTACACAGATGTTCAGAGGAAGGCCCCCAAGACTGATAGAGTGCAGGAGGGCAGGGCCTGCGCCGGTTTCTGCCTGCCCTCCTTTGCCAGCGTCTGGCGTACAGCTGACCCATAAATGGATCAGATGTGGATGATGACCTCAAGCCCAGGGTACTGGGTACCTGTTTCTTGGGTCACCACGTGGCCACCACGCCTTTCCACCAGCCTCATTCCCTCTGACTCTCCCAGGCAAATGACCAGAAGAGAGGTTTTCCTTCCCATTTTGAAGACAAGGGAACCGAGGTCTGGGGGTCGCGACACACAGCTCGGACTCCTGGTAAATATGTTGCCTAACGCGGGAACCTATTTGCAGGTGGGATTGAGTCAAGGATCTGGAGATAGGGGCTGATCCTGGGTTATGCGGCCCGGAACCCACGCACACACACACACACGGGTGTACACTATGCAGGACAGCCCCTGCCATCTGGCCAGACGTCCCAGCCCGAAACCACAGGGACCCTCGAGTGCAGCACCCAAGGGTGGGTCTGCCCCGTGGAGAGCCATGGGGCTACAGGCTTGGTGGGAAGACCCAGGGACCCGACGGAAAGCTTTCCCTCAGTGAAAAATGTTACGTGTGTCCAGATCCTGCCACCTCTCACCGCCTGCACTGCCCCACCCTGGCGCGGGCACCGTCGCCTCTCTCTGGGCGGCGCCTGCCTCCACCAGCGCGCCCCTGGGCAGCCCTCTTCCCCACCCAGCAGGCTGTTCTCCAGGCCGCCAGAGGGCGCAGGCGAGCACCTGCGTAGGCCCCCCTCGGGCCGCAGCCGCCAGGGCTCCCACCTCCCTGGGGGCAGAGCCCAAGTCCTCCCCAAGGCCCCCAAGACCCTGCACCACTGTCCCCGGCTCCCCCTGCCCTGTCCGCCTGCTCGCCCTCCCTCGCTCTCTCTGCTCCCGCCACACACGCCACCTCGCGGGGACTCAGAGAAATGCGGGCGTACGCTGCTCTTCGCCCGGATTGTTCTTCGGAGGCACCTGCCCGGGTGCTGCCGCCCCTCTCATCCTCTTAAAGCCCCTGCCCGGACACTCCCCGTCCCCGCCCTGGGCCCTTCCCCTCGGCTCTTACCCCTCTCACCCTGGCCACACTCATTTATTTATTGTTTGTCCTTCTGCCTCAAGGGGGGCATTGGGACCTGGCCTGGTGCCCGGCCCAGGAAGCACCTGACCAATGTCTGTCCGGGGAACAAACACCAAGGCGGCTGCCCACCTCCCCTGGCGCCTGGACGAAGTTCAGGTCACCATGCCTGACCACAGGTGAGGAGCGCAGGTGAGGCCGCCCCACACACTCCGCACCCTCTGTCAAGAGTGTCACATGGGCCTGAACTGAGAGAGCCCCTGATGTGGATCACCCCCCACAAGCCTCATGGAACCCATTTTACAGATAATGAAACTGAGGCACAGAAGGGGATGACAAGCCCAAGGCACAAAGCAGGGGCAACAGCCTGTGCAAATCTGCAGGCGCTCTTTCACCTTGAAACCACACACACCGGGCAGCACCTTGCCCAGGGCCACTGGGCTGGACAGTTGTCCAGTAGGATCTGAATCTATCTTCTGGGTCCAGGGTTGCGCTCAGGGGTCCGGTTTACCTCCTCCTCTCTCACTGCCTGGAGGGTTCCCATGGAGTAGACGGCAAACTTCTACTCATCCTTCAAAACCCGTGGATTCAGGCCTCTCCCCCTCCAACTCATTACCTGGCCTGGCCCAGGAGACCTGTGATAATGAGGTCAGTGTCCCTTTGTGACACAGCGGGGCCCCACACGAGACTAAGTTGATTTCAGAGAAAGGTGGAAAGAGGTGGAGATGGACATAAGCCTTCAGCCCAAGGCCAGGGCCTCCACCATGCTGGCGGGGCCTTGGAGGGGCCAGGCTAGGCTAACAGTGGGGCCCGACACCCACACCCCAACTCCTTCACATGGCGGCCACAGGAACATGGCCAGGCCCCGGGAGATCTGCTCCTAGTTCTCACGTCCCTGAGGACGGAAGATGATACAAGGAGGAAGGTCCCTTTTGGGCCCTGCGCTGTGTCCCGCCATCCCCTCAACTCCCTGCCCAGCCCCACCCCAGCAGTACAGCCTTGGGGTCCCCTCAGCCCCATCGGTTCTACCCTGGTGTAGCCAAGAATCTCCTCAGCCCCTTCAGACCAGGCCTGGCCCTAAAGGCTTTGTCACCAAGCTGGGGGACACTCCTCAGACTGCTCAAGTCTCCTGGCCCAAGGGCAGCTAGTGAGGAGAGCGGAGGCCGGAGCAGGGCGAGCGCAGGAAGGCCCGGCCGCCTAGGCCATCCTGGCACACGGTGCCCAGCGCAGGGGATGGCTGGCAGGGTAGTGGGCGGGCTGGGGCTGAGAACGGCTCTGTCCAGGGCACAAACAACCTGCTGTCTTGGAGGAATAAAGGGCCCTTGAGGACACGGCCCCCAGCATCTCCACAGAAGTTGGTGGCATCACTGGGCAAGAAACCGTCCCCCTGGACACTCCACTCAGCTGGCAGAGCAGGCAAGCCCGGCTGACAAAAACAAAGAGCTGGCACCTCCTGGAAACCTGGGTCCTCGGGCCACCCCCTCAACAGTGCGGTACCCCGGGGGCAGCCCTCGGACTCTCAGGCTCTGCCACAGCTATTTCCTGGGGAGCCAGAGAGCAGAGGGAAGATGCCCAAAGCCAGGGCACAGATAGGGCCGCCACCTACCGTGGGTGAAGAGAGCGGGCCTGGGGGGGGTCCCTGCCTGGGCTGCAGAGCCAGGCACCTGCCTCAGGGGCACTTGGTGGGGAGGGGCGGGCACAGGCTGGCCCCTTCCGGGGAGGCAGCTACCCCTCTCCCCCACCTCCTTTCCCGGAAGGACCCCTAGGTGGGGCAGGGGTGCCCACACCCAGAGGAAAGGGCCCCAGGCCCCCACAGCAGCTTCCCACCTCAACCCGTCCTCTGCTGGAGGTTCTGCGAAGGCCTGCAGCCCTGGGGACTCGGCTCCTGCCCGTGGACCCTGCCGCCTGGTCCATCAAAGGAGGGGGGATGCCGCGGGGACCAGACCTGGGGCCAGACCGGCAGGCTGGGAAAATGGCCCGGGGCTGGAGGAGGAAATGTTAGCAGGATAAATGGGAGGCTCTATAATTAGGTACAAACAAACAACCTCGTTTTAGGGGAGGGGACGTCAGAGAGGAAAATAAACAGCTCGTGGGGAAAGCACCCAGGGGAATCTGTTGGCCTTGGTGTTGGAGGTCAGGGGGGCCAATGAGTGATGCGGTGGGAGGGCTGGACAGCGGGCAGCCCGTGTCCCAAGGTGGAGGCTTGGCGCCTCTGAGCCAAGGGCAGGGCCAGGGGAAGGTGACTGACGCCTGGGGGAGGCTGGGGGCTGCTGCCCACTCCTCCAGGCGGCAGGGTTGAGAAGGGGGGCCTTTGCCAGCCCTTCTGGCAGGGTCGTGTCTTGGCCTCTCAAATGCCCAGACCTGACCCCCTGGGCCACAGGGTCTCACGGGGCTCTGGGGAGCAGCGCATTCGTGTCTCCGACCACCCTTCACGTTTGTGGCAAGTGAGATGCAAGTGGCCTGCCTTCCCATTTCCTTTCTTCCTTATTTGCCACAGCCACATACAGCTTCTTTTTCCCGTGTAAGCCAGGGAAAAACTGAGTGGATTTAAAGACAAATGTTGAAAGAAAACAGTGGGTGTTCCTCCAACAAGGTGTGGGTGTGAAGGTGAGGTCTCAGACGCCTGATCTGGGAAGTGTGGACGTTCTGGGCTCCTCGACTTATACTTCCAACGCAGCTTGAGGTCAGCAGAGCACCCGCTCAGACTCAGAAAAGGAGGCCGGTGGGGGAGAGCAGCCGGGCAGGCGGCCCCCACCCCCCAAGCGCCCTGTGCGGATCGCTGCAGGATCGCTGCAGAAGCGGGATCGTGTTTCCAGGAAGTACACAGCCGCCCTGCTGCCCCTGGCCCAGTAACTGTACTTCTGGGAACACACTTCAAGGAAATAACCCAAAGAGCGAAAGACGACTCATACAAACACTTGCAGCTGGGTTATTTATACTGGGAGCAGTTGAAAGTAACAAGTGGGGAAAGACCACAGAAACCTGGAGGTAGCCACAGGGGGCGTGCCCCCTGCCTGGCAGTGTCTCGTCCAGGTGGGCGCCCAGTCAGGACGTGGCAAGCAGCCGCCTCAAGGCCCCATGGCGCTTTAGGACTAGTGTCCAGACCACCCACTGTCAGTCTCCAAAGACCTGGCAGAGCTTCACCCGCCTCGGTGACGTCAAGGCTCAGCAGGCACCAGGGGCTTGGCCTGATGCCTACCAAGAACACAGCCTCACCTGCCAGTGATATGAGTGTACATGACCCCCCGAGCCCACGATGCTGTGTGGAGACTCTGGATCTTTCCACAGGCACCCCCTCTTCCCAGAAGCCTCTCACCACATGGATACCCCAGGTAGGGAGTACTCCGCCCCACTCTCTACATAGCCAGGGTCCCCAGGCTCCCCCAAAGCAGAGAAAGTTCGAACAGTTGGCTTGGGAGGCAGACCGTCACGCAGCAGGCAGCAGAGCAAGGGTGCCCCGTGTGGGCCCTGGGGTCGGCTCTCAAGGGTGGCCACTGTCAACCAGTCAGGACAGTGGAGCCTGGCACAGGAGGCCTGGCAGTGGATGAGTGCAGGCCATGGCAGGCCTGTGCCAGGGAGCCAGCTGCGTCAACACTGTGGGCTCCTTCAAGTGCCACTGCCCAACGAGACACCGGCTCCGTGACAACAACAGCAAATGCGAAGGGGGGCGAGGGGCACGTGGACACCCGGCTCCTCTGTGCCCTGCCGCTCAGGCTCCCAGCCACGCAGGGGAGGCGGCCAGGGCTGGGGGGTCCTGGCTCCGACCTGGCATGTCTGCACAGATGTGGACCAGGGTCTCAGCACGCCAGGCTTCTGCTCCAGGGGCAGCTGCACCAACACAGCCGGGAGCTACGTGTGCCTCTGCCCCTGTGGGTTTGCCAGCAGCCTGGACAGCAGCCGCTGCCTGGGTGAGCCGGGCGGGGCGGCGGGAGGGCGGATAGGAGGCAGGCCTCTGGCTTGTGTTTTTCTGCAACTCGCTGGCCCTCGGGCTCCTCTGGCTCTCCGATCTCTGCCTTCTGCCTCGCTGGAGGTCTTTCTTGCCTCTATGCCCCTCCGAGCCTCTAGCCTCCATCTCGGTGTCTCTTTGACCCTCTAGTCTCCTTCTCTGGGCCCACTCTGGCCCTCCAACACCATCAATACGCCCCCGCTTCAGACCCTCCAGCCTCCAGCTTGATGCCCTTGTCCCCACAGCCTCTCGGGCACCACCTCTATATCCCTCTTCAGTTCCCAAACCCGTCTTAAGAGCCCCTCATCTTCCCCTGCACTCTGAGGTAGGGAAACTGAGGTGCAGAGAGGGGTGACAACTCAGGTCCAGAACAGATGGATGCCCTCACCCACCTGCCCTGCCCCAGCCAGGGTGGAGTCCCCGGGTGCCTGCAGTCCGGTCCCTACACTCCGCCTGGTGGGGCAGGTGAACCCCTGGGTTCCCACCCCCTGTCCGGCTGTCTTGACGGTCACTGGACTTTAGAAGCTGCCGGTGGCCACCAGGGTCGGGCTCATGGACACTTGTGGCAGGGATGGCCGGAGCCCTGGTCTGGGGATAAGAGAAGGGTTCAGCGGTGACGGCGTCACTGACCCTGGCTGGGCCTCACCAGGTGGTGCTGGGACTGTTGTGTTTGGAGCTCTGCCAGTGGGCTGTGGCCCTGCATCCCTCCACCGCAGGGGCCACCATGGAGGACCCCCCTGGGCATGTCCCCCTGGCTGCGGGGGCCTCTGCCAGCTACCAGACAGCAGAGCTTAGATTTGAACCAAGGTCAGGTGGCCTCGGAACATGGTCTTGGGATTCAGTGCTGGGTTCCAGCTACCACCCAAGCTGCTTGCAAACTCTGTGACCTTGGGTGAGTGACTCACCCTTCCTGTGCCTCATCTGTAAAATGGGGCCGACCACAACGCCTGCCTCACAGAGTCGAGGATTCAATGGGATCTGTGGAGCGGCCTGGCCAGTCTGGGGGTCGTGGGCACTCAGTCTGCATGCACAATCAGGAGAAAGTCGGGCTGTGACCCTCAGCGGCTCTGAGCACAGTGGGTGCTCCGTAGAGCAAAGGCAGTCATTTTGGTTCAAATTCCCATATTCTGTTTCTGTGTTCTCTACGGGAGACGCAGCTGCTTGGTCAGGTCCCCTGGGGTTTGGGGATCTGGGTTCCCACCCTCACGCCCACTTGGTAGCTCTGTGGCCCCGGAGGAGTCTGTTGACCCCGTCTGGACCGGCCCTGACTCCGCGGAGGGCCTGATGTAGTGCTGGGGATGCAAAGCTGGGGGCGCAAAGCTGGGGGTAGGGCCAGGTCGGTGGAAACCTTTGCGTGATTTCTCAGCCTGGGGCGGTGGTAGCAGGGCTGTCGGGGCCTCCCCAGCTGTGGGGAGAGGTTTCTCCACTGTGGGCCACCAGCCAAAATTTGTGGGGTGTTAAACCTAAAAATATGCTCTGTGAGCCTGAGAAATCTGATCACCATGTGAAGCCACTGGACTTGAGCCCACATGGGGAGGTGGGGTCCTGCCTGCAGCTCTCATACCTGGGGAGCACAATCTCCGTCTCCCCAGGGGCTGTGTGGTCCATCCACCAGTCTTCTTAGGTTACCCCGGAATGCCCAGGGCTGGCAGGTAGTACACAGCTGGAGAGCCTGGTGGGGAAGTGCCCCAGACCCAGGGCCCTCCCTCAGTGTGGCCGAATCCCCGCAGCCAGGGGGGAGCTCGCTGCATTAGGCTTCGGACTGCCTTAGCTTGGCCTGAACCCAGATCTACCTCCCTGGGGTGACTTGGAAATCCCGGTAATAAGATCCTCACTCCGTGAGGATGGGCCAGGGGCCAGGCACAGCGCGTTCCACCCTTCATCCGGGCGACAGTCCCCCAAGGCGAGGTGGATGGGGAAACTGAGGCACATTGGCAAGGATCCCCGTCCTGCAGGCAGGGCTGGTGGAGCTGGGAATTGGACCAGGTCTGTAACGGGCCCTCCCCACCCCCACCCCCCATTGCAGACCAGCGGGCTGGCACCTGCTTCTGGGTGCTGGTTGGAGGCCGCTGTGCCAAGGACCTCACCGGCCACGACACTGGGAGGCAATGCTGCTGTGACAAGAGCAGGTGCTGGACGGCTGGCCCGGGCCCGAGCTGGACCCACGCGCCGCTCCCTACCCCCTCCGCCTCCCACAGACATCGCTGAGTGCCGGACGCCCGGCGCCTGCGCGAACGGCCACTGCCCCGGGAGGGGGTGGGGGTGGGGCTGGCGGGGGGCGCGGACGGCCGCGGGTGCCTGGACACCCACGTGCGCAGCGCGTGCTACGGGACCGAGAAGGGCTCCTGCGCGCGCCCCTCCCCTGGCGCCGTCACCAGATCCGAGTGTTGCTGTGCTAGCCCCGACCGCGGGTTCGGGGGGCCCTGCCAGCTGTGTCCAGCCAGGAGCTCAGGTGAGCCTCTGCATGGCCGGCCCCCGCCTGCTCTGCGGGGCCCAGCTGCTCCCGTTCATCATCTGGGGCGGGCCGGGGCCGGGGCGGGGCCGGGGGCGTGTTTCCGGTGGGGGCCGCAGGCAATGGCTCTCTCCGCGGCTGGGGCGGGCATCTTAGTCCCAGTCTGCTCAGCACCGAGGCGCCGCGTTGGGGGTGTGGCTCAAGGTTCGGCAATGGCCTGTGACTCCCCTTGCCCTGCTCCTGCCCCCCAGGCGAGTTCTGGTCCCTGTGTAGCCGTGGTCTAGGCGTCCCCGCAGAGGTCAGAGGTGAGTGGTGGGGGGAGGGGAAGGGGCGCACGGCGCGGGGCTGTGGCTGGGCACTGCGTCTGGGACACTCCTGGGGCTGCGGTAGCAGAGTGCCCCAGGGTGGAGGGCTTCACCACCAGACGTGCATCCTCCCACGGTTCTGGAGGGTGAAAGTCCGCCGCCCTGATGTGGGCAGGGCTGGTTCCTTCTGTGACTGTGAGCGGGGCATCTGTCCCACGCTCGCTCCCTGGCTTTGGGCTGTTTGCTGGCCATCCTTGGCTTGTGGAAGCTTCCTCCAATCTCTGCCTCCGTCTTTCCATGGGGCTCCCCGTATGTGTGTGCCTGTTTGGCCAGGTTTGAATTCCCGCGCACCTGTTTACTGACGGAATACTCTCGGGCAAGGTGCCCACCCTCCGTGCCTCAGTCTCCTGGCCTCAAAGGGGAAATAGTAATAGGAGCCACTTCAGGAGTGCTGTGAGGATTCAGGGAGTGGAGGGGATCGGTACAGGATGGTAAGCCCCCATCACGTAGTGATCGTGATTCATGCAGCTGCTGCCCAGTGTCCAGGGAGTTCCAAAGTGGGGACATTTCTGCCCCCCAGGTGCATTTGACAGTCCCTGCAGAAATGCCAGGGAGGGTGCTGCTGGCACCTCCTGGGTGGAGGCCGGGGAAGCTGCCCAGGAGCATTGTGCATCCCCTGTGCACAGGACCCCCCACCCCACCCCAGCAAAGAATGATCTGGCCCCAAACATCCGCAATACTGAGAAACCCTGAATGTGAGGGAGGTGGGGCAGCGTCTGGGCTGGAGCTCTGGCCCTGGAGGGCCTTGGTTTCTGGAGGTTCCCCGGTGAGCCGGAGTGGCCGCTGACACCCTCCCCCGGCTGCAGACATCAACGAGTGTGCCCTGGACCCTGACAGCGGTGCCAAAGGCATGTGCGAGAACAACTGGGGTGGCTACCGCTTCATCTGCAGCCTGGGCTATGAGGCAGCCATGGCCGGTGGAGGGAACAGGGGTGAGAGAGCCCAGCGCTGGCAGGCAGGTGGTGGTCTGTGAGCTGGGACGTCCTGTTAATGTGCCTTCTGCCTGCGTACATGTGTTCTTTGTGGCCCAGCGTGTTCACGGACATGTGTGCCTGGGTGCACCCCGTGCCGCTGAGCTCCAGTGGCCACCGCGGCTCCCTGCTGGACCAGGATGGCAGGACCTGCAGAGGTGACGTCCCTCCCTCCTACTGTGCCTGGTGGGGCTGCGTCCCTGCCCCCTCAGAGCTGCCCCAGGCATGCGTGTGCTCTTCCATCGCAGCCCCTCCCCACTGCACAGCGTCTGACACCACTGCCAGGGTCTCCGGTGCCGGATGGCCCGCCCTGAGCCCATTGGGCTGTCTGGGCTGCAGACCTGGACAAGTGCACCTCCCGGCTTCACAACTGCCAGTTCTTCTGCATCAACCCCATCGGCGCCTTCACCTGCCGCTGTCCCTCGGCTTCATCCAGCACCAGCAGGCCTGCTTTGGTGAGTCACAGGGTACCTGACCCCAGCCTTCACTAGTTTGTTTGCCAAAAAGTAGGGAGCATCCAGTGTGTGCCAGACATCGGGGCATGGGGGCGAGGGGAACAAAGTTTGCGCCCTGTCAGTGCTCACACCCTGGTGGCGTCTAGAATGTCAGTCTCCTTCCTGCCCTAGGGGCCGGAGTCCAGCAAGCTCTCTGATGTCTTGTCTTCCAGGGGCACAAATCCCATCCTAAGCGCCCCACCCTCCTGACCTGATTCAAACCTATTCACCACCCAAACACCCCACCTCCAAATACCGTCCGTCACTTTAGGGATTAAGGCTTCAACATACATATTTTGGGGGGACCCACAAATCAGTCCGTAACACTAGTTGACATCCCACAGGAACCACCAGGTGCCATGGGGGCTGCCCTAGGCATGGGGCACAGTCACTGTAGGAGGAAGCCAGGGGCCAGACCAAGGGTGGGAGCACCGGACTGCGGGTCCCGGCTTGTCCCCATGGGGTAGCACCTGCCCGGGCCTTGCTATACTTCCTCTGCCCCTCTTTGCCCTTAGTGGGTCTTAGGGGACACCCAAGCACCCCAGTCACTCCCAAATTACAGAATTCAAAGGTGGCAGAGCAGGGATTCCCGGGCTATGCCACACAGCCTACTCTTTATGGAAAACCTGGGTCTTTGTGGCCAGGCATCCCAGCCTCCAGGGCATCACCACCTTCGGAGACCATCACTTTACATTATGTCCTCAAAAATCACTGCACACAGAGGCTCACCCCTGTCCCCTGCAGACAGCTGGGCCAAACGCCTTCATTCCACAGTTCATGTTAAACCCTTAATGTGTGCTGGGTGCTATAATGGGACAATGGTGAACCAAAAAACACCCCCAAATCCCTACCCTTGTGGAGCTGATATTCTAATAGAGACAGACAGGAAATAAGTAAAGCAGGGTATTTTATAACACTTGATAAACACTACGGGCGAAATGAAGGCAGCAGTGTGAAGAATGTTGGTCTGTGGGTCCTTTGATAACAGATTAATATGAATGTATAACTCTGCCATCATTTTCCCTTCTGTTTTTTTCCTCTTTCTGGGAGAAATGGTGGCTGTGTATATGATCCCACTGTCACCATTATTTTCTTTAATCATCGCAGGGGTGGGGCCTGTGTCTGTCGGGTTTGCGGCTGTGTCTTCAGCCCTTGGCACCTACTAAGAGTGAGTGGAGTGATGGTCAGGGGTCCTGTGGCTTTTCCTGCAATACCCACAGTGTGCGAGCAGGTGTCAGTGTGAGCATGTGTCTGTGCAACACGCCCAGGAAGGGCTGAATGCTCCAGTCCTGGGGGCTGGGAAATAGGAATAGCTTTCATTTTCATGCAGCAGCAAAACACATGGCCAGCATGTAAATTAGGCAGAACACACACTGCCCTGCCCCAGGCAAAGGAGATGAAAACACAGATGACCTCGTGTAGGATTGGACACATCATTCAGCCCCCGTTAGCCTGCCGGCTTATTCAGGGCCCTGTCCCGCTGCCAGGACCAGGAACATGCTCAAGGGGCTCAAATAAAGAGGGGTTTGTTATGTGCACACAGGCGGCTCTCACAGAGCCCAGATGCAGGAAGGGCAGTGCCCCCCACCCCGCCTCCCTGGGACCGGAAAGCTAGAGGGCAGCTCCTCTGTCTGGCCCGTCTGCCAAGGGGATTTGTGTTTCACTGCGTGGGCTCCTGAGTCCTTTCTGGAGCTTTCTTCTGCTGCCAGGCCCTCGGTTGTGACTCCAGCCACCCCTGCCACCTTTGAGTTGCATTAGGGCCGTGGGGCCCGATGCCATCTGACTCCTGGCTGTCATCTGAGGGCAAATCCTTCAGCCTCCACCCAGGTTGCCAGGGATCTAATTAATGAAGGCCCCTCAGCCGGGCTGTGGGGTCTGGAGTCGGCATGTGCACCGGCTTCCCACCTGGGAACGGCCTCTGCCTTACTGCCTGTGTCTGGAGCCTGAGCTGACTGCTGGCCTTGTGGATGGAGGCCTAGGAAGAAGCCAAGGGCAGAGAGTGTTCCTATGTTCCTCCACTTGGCTGTGACCCGGTGGCGGCCTCCCCACACCATCTTCCAGCCTCTGACCAGCATCCACCTGGTCTTTCTCTCCAGGGAAGCCTGGCCAGCCTTGACGCGGAGGCCCTGCTGACCTGTGGCCTGAACCTGTTGTGCCTGGGCCGTGCTGAGCACGTCCTGGAGCTGCAGCCTGTGCTGGAGAGTCTGGGGCACTGCATGCGCTACGTCACCGCCTACGGCAATGAGCGAGGTTTCTCCCACATGCATCACTTCCGTGGCCTCAGCTCCCTGCAGCTGAGGCATCGGAGGCCGGAGCCTGGGGTCTACCAGCTGGAGGTGGTGAACACGGCAGGGCCCTGGGGCACCCGGCTGCAGGGGTGCCGGCTGGGCCGGGGGACGGGGCTTTGTGATTGAAGGTAAGGCTCCGGCTGGCTGCGGTAGCTGAGAGAAGCCCGTACCTCTGGCCTGGCCCCTCCCGCGACACCCCGCAGGGGCACCGCGCAACCCTACCTCTTCCCAGGGGCTCTGGGGAACCACTGTGCATGGCAGGGAGAGCCCGGTGTTGAGTCCTGGCCTCAGTGGATCTCAGGGCCCCCAGGCTGTCCTCTCCAGAGCTGAGGAATTCTGGAGCCAGAGGCCTGGGTCCCAGTGGCAAAGGCTGACCGGTGGAGCCCCGACGCTCAGGAAGAGTAAAATGCTACACTCCAGCCACAGGCTGGCCTGGCCTCTGCCCGGGATTGACCCTCAAGTCCTCCTGGGGTCAGCAGGAAGCTGCAGGCGCACCCTCCACCACCAGCCAGGGCCAAGGCAGGCCCTGCGGCTCACTGCGAATGCTCCGTCTCTGGGCTTAAATTTCCTCACCGCATGAGGCTAGCCCCTCCCAGCAGAGGGGCCCTCTGGGGCCCCAGACAATTGGCCACACAGTCATGTTCACACCCCTGCCTAGAGTTCCAAGGATGCTTTTATATGAGAAGCAAGACAGGAATAAAGTTACTTTGGGTTAAGTCTGCCACCTTGGCAAGTTCGTGAACAGACCTGGACCTTGGGCCAGGCTCACACGCATGGCAGAGCAGAAAGCCCCAGAAGGACGGATCGCTTTGGGAAGGATAAACTTCAGCCCAGGGCTCCGAGGAGAACGCGTGTAGGTGAGACATGGGTGAAGACTACCCTCCAGTGGGATAGGGGACACAGCCCCAGGATGCCAGTCGGCTCTGCCAGCTTCACACCTGTGTATTTGGCACAAAGATGGGTGTGAGTGGCAGCCCCTGCAAGCCTTCCTGGGTTCGCCCGTAGTGATGACGGTGGCTTGTCTCCTCACCGTGTGCTATGTACGGGGCACTGCTGATCATTTTACAATCATTGACCCATCCCGTTATCACTGCAGCCCCATGGAGTAGAGGCTGTTGTTCTCTACCGGAAAGAGGTTAAACAGTTTGGCCAAGGTGACTCCAGGTTACAGGTAGGAGAGCTGGGTTCAAAGTCAGGCAGCCATGCCAGAGTCCCGGCTACCACCCGCCACGCCATTCCTGCCTGGTTCCAGATGCTCTTAAGAACGTGGTTTGCTCAGGGTCACTGGCTGGACTCACCTGGTGTGTGGCACCCCCCCAGGAGCCGTCTGCTGTGGGGCAGGGGGCAATCACGTGGGAGTCAGTGCAGACCAGGGCAGCGCCTTGCATCCCATAGTGAAACGTGACAGACAGGAGGACCTCCCACCCAAGGTTTATTTAAAATTTGTGGAGAAGGCTGTGTGTGGACAGACGGGAGCTTTGCAAGGAGCCAGGGGGACATGGGCAGGCATGGCCCTGGGTGGGTGGCAAGAGCTGCAGAGGGTGACATGTCCCGGTGACCATCTACAAGGCCCACTGCGCAGGCTGACTCTGGTTCCCAAAGCAGGCACAGGGCTTGAAATAAGGTCAGCTCCCTCCTTCCAGCTGCCTGAGATGATGGGGAGCGAGCCAGCTCGGGTTCAGGCACCACGATGGACATTCGGCCTGACGGACACACGGACGGGGCAGCCGGGGCCGCGGGGCGATGGCTGTGGCGGAGAAAGGTCCAGCCCTTCCTGTGCTAGCTGACCCTGGACGTGCACTCAAGGTCCTGCAGAGGGATCGAGAGGGGGCAGGTGGTGGAGACGAGTGCAGTCGGGACCCTCAGCTTCTGGTCCACACCCCTGGCAAAGACCCCTGAGCTGGGCCAGGGTGACCCGCAGCCACCTAGGACCCTCCCGTGTGAACCTGCAGGGCTGGCCAGCCCTCCCTGCTCCTGGAGGTGGTGAGCCCCTGCACCAGTGTGGGCTGGTCAGCCCTCAGCAGTGGTGATGGTTACATGATCTGGGTCCTTACCCGGCTGGACTATTGGAAGGGAGGCTTTCCTGTTGCTTCTCGTAGGACGACTAAAGTTGGCCAGCGTTAGCCTAGAGATCCCAGAGCTCAACTTCCTAGCTCCAGAGTGAGAGCCTGTCCCGGAGACAGGAACAATAGGTAAGAGCTCTGCCAAGCCCTTTGTGCGCCTGGATCCAGCCACACCTGAAGCCATTTGAGCCAATGAGCTTCCCATTTGCTGGAGTTTTCTACCTCTAGCGATTGCAAGTGTCCTGGCTGAAGGAGTTGCTCGTTCATTCAGTCTCTCAGTCACCAGCACCTGGCTGTCTCTGGGGTTGGGGGCTGCTTTCAGCACCCTAGCTTCCGTTCCCTCCTGCAGCAGGAAGGACAGGCCCCCTGGATACTGGGCTGTAGTCTCACATACCTTGGGAGGCTCTCTGGGCACCTTGGAGCTTTTGGAGATTTCTGTTCCGAGCGTCCAAGAGTTTTACCCCATTCCGCACCCACCTGGCCCGTGGGTTCCCACACACCATCCTGTCTGTGTGGTGCAAGACGAATCTGAGGGGGGTGGGGGAGGAGGTGCCCAGGTTAGGGTGCAAGTGGGGAGCAAAGTTGTGTGGAAGCTCCTCCCAGCTCCCCGTCCCACTCACATCACGGCAGGCAGATTGCAGCTCCCGCTCACCTCCTGGAGCAGGTAACCCCGGGCACGCCGGAGCATGGCCCGCCCAGTGTGCTGGTGGTAGGCTAGACAGCAGTCCTCAAAGACACCTGCAACCACACAGCCAACCACAGATGCACTCACGCCTGTATGTTTGTGGAAGTGCTGCGTGTGCACCCCACAGACGTAGGCACCCGCAAACATGTCACAACCTTCCCAGGCCTGGGGGAGGCTGAGAGCCCAGGTGATAAGCCACTTGGCACACCTTTGGCCTTGACCTGGGGACAGTTGGTGGGAGTTCCTGCAGGCCTGGCTGGAAAGGTACCAAGACAGCAAAAATCATGGGAGACCAAGGCCGCTCCCATTCTTAGGCTGGGGCAGAGAGCAAGGGAGACAGGCGCAGCACCCCAAGCAGGGACAGGGGCCGCCACTCCTGAAATGCCTGTCTGCTCCTGGTGTTTAAGCCATTTGAGCCAATGAGCTTCCCATTTGCTGGAGTTTTCTACCTCTAGCGATTGCAAGTGTCCTGGCTGAAGGAGTTGCTCGTTCATTCAGTCTCTCAGTCACCAGCACCTGGCTGTCTCTGGGGTTGGGGGCTGCTTTCAGCACCCTAGCTTCCGTTCCCTCCTGCAGCAGGAAGGACAGGCCCCCTGGATACTGGGCTGTAGTCTCACATACCTTGGGAGGCTCTCTGGGCACCTTGGAGCTTTTGGAGATTTCTGTTCCGAGCGTCCAAGAGTTTTACCCCATTCCGCACCCACCTGGCCCGTGGGTTCCCACACACCATCCTGTCTGTGTGGTGCAAGACGAATCTGAGGGGGGTGGGGGAGGAGGTGCCCAGGTTAGGGTGCAAGTGGGGAGCAAAGTTGTGTGGAAGCTCCTCCCAGCTCCCCGTCCCACTCACATCACGGCAGGCAGATTGCAGCTCCCGCTCACCTCCTGGAGCAGGTAACCCCGGGCACGCCGGAGCATGGCCCGCCCAGTGTGCTGGTGGTAGGCTAGACAGCAGTCCTCAAAGACACCTGCAACCACACAGCCAACCACAGATGCACTCACGCCTGTATGTTTGTGGAAGTGCTGCGTGTGCACCCCACAGACGTAGGCACCCGCAAACATGTCACAACCTTCCCAGGCCTGGGGGAGGCTGAGAGCCCAGGTGATAAGCCACTTGGCACACCTTTGGCCTTGACCTGGGGACAGTTGGTGGGAGTTCCTGCAGGCCTGGCTGGAAAGGTACCAAGACAGCAAAAATCATGGGAGACCAAGGCCGCTCCCATTCTTAGGCTGGGGCAGAGAGCAAGGGAGACAGGCGCAGCACCCCAAGCAGGGACAGGGGCCGCCACTCCTGAAATGCCTGTCTGCTCCTGGTGTTCTGGCCCTTGCTCCGGGCTAGTGCTTGCCCCCCCGGGGCCATCTCAAGTACCTCCTCCTCTCTGGCCCCATCAGACTGAACACTGTGGAGTCACCTGTCCAGAAACCAGGAGGGCCCTGTTTGTTTACCACTGGTTGGACAAAAGCATTTAGAGTTCCCACCAAGTGCCAGATATCTAGACAAACAGAGGGGAACTGGACCCAGTGCCATCACTGGGGACCTCCCAGCCTGGTGCGGAGCCCAGGAGGCCGGTCCGCCCTGGGGAGGGGAGGGGCAGTGGTGGGGTGGGGCTTGGAAGAGGAGGTCTGGTGCCGGGAGGGCCTGGGGGCACGAGCAGGTGGGATGAGCAAGGACTGAGGATGCAGAGCCCAGTGCGGAGGCTCACGGTCCTCCAGAGCCCACCGCCTGCTGACTCCTGTCCCCAGGGGCTGCGTCTGAGTCTTGGCAGAGTCCAACCAGAAGACTGGCAGAGGCAGAGGGCTGCATCCCCCAACCCTGGGCCCGGGGGCAAGGGGCAGTGGAGTCAGGACCCTGGGCCAGTGCCAGGCAGGCAGTTCTCGAAGTTGGGGGCCACCCTGCCTCACCCCAGGATCAAAGGGCCTGGGCTGGGCCTGCCTCCTGGAACGGGCCTCTGATAGCAGGACAATGGGAATGAAACCCAGCACCCTCCTGGGCAAAGGCTAACGTCTGCTGGAGGCAGGTTGAGGGCCTCTTGGACTCAATGAGGGGCAGGTGGGGCAGTGGGGTGGGGCCCTGCTTAGCCAGCTGCTGAGGCTCAGCTGTGTCCCCTGTGCCCATGGGAATATAAGACACAGTGGCATTGCTTCTGGGGACACTGCAGACCCAGAACCAGCCACCCAAATCCTCGGACGCCTGACCCAGGGAGAAGCACCTGCTCTAACAGTAATGGTTCTCCGTGTTGCTGGGCACGGGGCTGATAATTTTGCGAGCATCAGCTTCACTGGGTCCCCACATCCTGTCTCTGCAGCAGGAATTTCTCACTTGGCAGGTGAGGAAACAGGCTTATAAAGGCTGAGTAGCAACGCGGCTGGACCACACAGTAGCCCAGGATGGGGCTGGGGAGCAGGCATGGGGGCCACTCCTATTGGTACCCGGGGCTCCGCAGGGTCAGGTCACTGCACTGTGTCCCTGGCGGTAAGCGGCTGTGCCACCGCTGGGAGCCACCTTCTGCTCCCCTGGGCTGCCTGGAGTGCCTGCAGGAGGCCTTGGGTCACGGACTGTGGAGGAGGCACCACAGGGGCTCTGGAAGGACCAGCTGGGGGCCCTGAACCCCTGAGGAGCTGTGTGAAGGCCAGGAGTGTTTGCATGCCTAGGGGGGGAGCTGTCTGTGCTGGAGATGGGATCCTGAGGCTTCCGGGGGGATGGGAGGGCAGACGGGGTGGGGGGCAGGACAGATGGATGTGGACAGGGGACACTATGGGGCAGGGCAGGTATGGCCCAAGATGGTACCTTGTGAGCAGACAGTGGGGACCCAGGCACCCACGAAGACAGCCACCAGGCAGGTCAGGAGCCATAGGTTCATATTCATAGTGCAGGCTGGTCCTCCTTGGGCACCTTGAAGAATAACGGGGAGACAGTGGGGTGATGAGGATCCAAAATGGACAGCAGCAGGCACTGCGAACACCTGCCCCTGGAGCCAGGCCCCAGGGTGCTTGCTCTGCAAGGGGTGGGTGGCACGGAGCGGGGCCAAGCCGTGATGCCAGAGGGACCTGCTGGCTGCTGGCCTCAGCTGTGGGCAGGGGGAGCGCTCACCAAAGCCGGTGGGGTCCCGGGAGCCAGCGCCTCTGCGGTGGGCCTGAGCTTCTCTGTCAGGCCAGCAGGCTGCACCCTTTATAGGCAGAGCCCCACCCCGCGGCCACCTGCCCTGCCCCCTCCCTTTGGGCTTCTGTTTCTCTTTTGACCTCCTCTCTGCAGTATGGGGGTGCACCTGGAGGGAGCTGTGAGCCACTGGGGACAGGAAGGTCCAAATCAAAGAACCAGGCGGGAAACCCTGACTCCCTCAATAAGTACCAGGATGCAGGGCGACGGCCTTGGCGATGCGAGACGAGGTGGACGAACCTGGGGACAGATCCAACCTTGACCTCAACCAGCCTGGCTGCCCTGCGACCCCCTCACCTTCCCCCCACACCCAGTCCTCTCAGCAGCATCCCTAAGTTCGGAAGGGCCCTTTCTCCTGCTGCTCGGTTCCCTCTCCCGCTGCGCACCTGGGGGCACTGGCTTCCCCCAGGCAGGCTGCACAGAGCCGGGAGAAGGGCCTTCCTGGCTGCTCCCGCTCCCAGGCCACCTCTTCCTGGGGGGCCCTGGCTTCACCTCATTTTCCTCTCCTTCCCCACAGTGGGGTGACTTTTACAGTAATGCCTTGGTTTTGCAAACGTGCAAACCCATAGAAACATAAGGCCAACTGTCTGGGGCTGGGCGGCGGGGAAGGTGGGAGTGGCCGCTGAAGGGTTGGTTTCTTTCGGCTCCGAAACCAGATAGCGGTGAAGGTCGCGGGATGACACACTTTCAGTGGGTGCAGCCGAGCGGTGTGTATTTTCTCCCGTATTATCTGGAGAATAATCTCAGTGAAACTGTTACTAATGACCGCCACAACACAGACGCGCTCTGGTGTTGGGATAAATGCAGGGAGCCCCAGGTGACCACGCCGGCAGGAAGCAAAACAAAAGCCCATCTACATGTTTTCTTTCCCCGGTGGGCGAGGCCCACCCAGACCACGGCGCCGAGGTGGGCTGGGTTGGTTGACCCAGGAGACCGCGTGTAACGTGCAACTTCATCGCCGGCGTCCTCACTGGAGACCCCTCCAAGTCCTCGTCCCGCCCGACGCCCCGTCCCCTCTGCCGCTCGCTGGGAGCCCCGGACGCGGACCCCTGCCCCCCAACCCTGGGCCGAGCTGGGCGGGGCTTAGCGCCAAGGGCGGGGCTCCCGCTCCTAGCCCCGCCCGCCCAGCGGCTCGGAGCCCGGGGGTCCTGCGGCCGTGGCCTCCCAGTCCCTCGGTCTTCCTCTCTGGGACGCGGTTCCGCGTGGCTGCGGGCGTGGGGACGCGGCGTGGCGGGCCGCCGCCCTTGCCTGCCCTGGCCGAGGCTCCCGGCGCCCACCTGTCCGCCCCGTCCTCGCTGGTCAGCAGCTCCGGCGATGGGGGCCGGGGCGGGTGATCTCCAGCCCGGAGCTGAGCCGCACTCAGGGGCTGACCTCACGCCAGGGCCTGCGGGGTAGGAAGGGTAGGCAGAGGCCTTCCTTCCACGAGCACCGCCCAGCTGCGGGAAGTGCCCTCTCTGGGCCGGGGTGCACCCCCAAGGCCCCACTGCAGGATAGGGGGGACGGCGGGCTCCGCGAGGGTAATTGCCCACCGCTCCTTTTGGGATCCGGGGACCGAGGACCCTCCCAAGTGCTCCACGTTGGCTCACACTACAGAGGAGGAGACAGGGTCAGGAAGGCCCTATGGGTTATCGGGAAGGACACAGGGGCACCGGGGAAGTGCCACCAGCTGAAGCGGGCACCCATCTGCAGCTGCTTTCGCCTATCAGAACCCTCCCCTGCAGGTCCACTGAACGGGGAGGGGGGGCCCAGGTCCCGGCCCATGCGGCCTCTGAGAGAAGCAGGTGCCCCCCCCCCACCTTATGCATCTCGTGGAGGAGCATGCCAACCCCAGGTGCCCTGTCTGCAGGACCCGGACTCCTGCTGTGCCCAGCTGCCTCTTGCTCAGGTCCAGATGCCCAGGGTTGCCAGGCAACTGGAGGAAGGGAGGAAAGGGGTTTTCCAGGATGTGTTGCGAGCCTCTGCCTGATTTTCAGAGACTTGGTTTGCTGACTGGTCCCTTTTGCTGTGTTCCAGTGGGGTCAGCCCTGCTGCTCCTGGAAGGTGGGCTTTGAGGGGCCCCCTCCCCAGGCTGACCAGCGGCCTCTGTGCTCCAGGGAGCAGCCCCAGCAATGGACTGGGCGGGGGCCGTGGCCCTCCAGAGGGACATGGGCCACCAGCCCTGGTCGTGGCCTCGCCTTCTCCCCACCTCACGGGATGTGCAGGGGCCCCGGCCAGCGGCGCTGCCCCAGATGGGAAGGTGGCCTGATGCTGGCCCTGCCAGGCTAGGGCTGGAGGGAGGCGAGCTCTGCAGACAGTCCCACAGGGCCATCTTCCAGGCCCTCTTCACAGGTGCTGAGCCCCATTCACCCCTCCAAACAGGTCTTCTAGGCACCTCTTCCGTACCAGCCACGTGCTGGGCCCCAGGGCGACAGCTGTGCACAGGCAGATGTGTCCCAGTCGTGAAAGATGACAGATCCTGAACAGCTGTTGGGGGCCCATTCACTATCTCACGCATTCACTTAGCAAACACTGAGCAGGTGCCCGCTGTCGGCCCGGCCCTGGCGTAGGAGGCAGACGCCCGAGAGCACAGCAGGCAAACAACGAGGCGATCTGCTTTGGGACTGGGGTCTCGGCACAAATCCTGGCGTGACAGGGACACACAGGGACATGCTGGGCTCCTTTAAACAGAGTGGTCTGAGGTGACAATAACCCTATATATATTAGCATTTATCCCTATTTTACAGGGAAAAACAATCAACCTAGAGAGGTTTAGGTGTCAGTACACGGGGTCTGATTCCAGGTCCGACTCCTTCACTCCACATACACTGAACAAGTGCTGTATTAAGCATGTCTTTGTAAAAAAAAAAAAATTCAATAATGTATTTTATTTAACCCCATCTATCCAAAATGTTATCATTTCAACATGTAATCTCAAATAACAATGATTAATGAGCTCTCTTCCCTTTTTTGCATAGTAAGTCTTCCAAACACGGTCTGCTATCCGCCTACAGCACATTTCAAGTGCCAGGAAGCCCCGCGAGGCTGGGGACCACCTGGCTGGATGGTGGGGGCAGCAACTGCCGCCAACCGCCAGTTCATAATTTTGTATCGATTCTTTTTTCTTTTTATTCTTTATTAAGACTTTATTATTTTTTAAGAGCTGTGTCATTTTTCCAGCAAATCTGCGGGTAAGGTCCAGAGAGATCCTACGTGCCCTGTGCCCCCTCACACGCACAGCCCCCAGCCCATCACAGCCCTCCCGAGCCAGAGTGGCGCCTGTGTTCACCACGACGGACCTGCAAAGACACACTGCCATCACCCAGAGTCCGCGGCTCATGGTAGGTTTGCTCCTGACCCACCGTCTGTGGTTTTGGGAGGAAGGACACCGACACGTGTCCCCTATGACGGTTCTGTGCAGAGTATTTCGCTGCCTGCAGAATCTTCTGTGCTTCGAGCAAGTCTGTTTCATTCTGGGGTTTGTGATAGCTGGGGCCTAGCTGAGCCTGGAGGCACGGCCCCTGGCAGAGCCAGCAGAGAGCTAGAGACAGGACGTGGCTCACCCACAGTGCACACCAGCCAATCCAGAGCCCACACCCTCCCCATCTTTGTTACCAGGCACTCACATTCAGGGCCACTGGCCCCCGGCCTCGATCACCCCAGGGCCCGTGCTGGACAGCTGGGACAGCCCATATGCCCTAGAGCCCCAGAAATTCAAACTAGAGGTACTAAGCCTGCTTACCCTGCCTCACCTGTGCCCTTTCTCTCGCACCATGCGTGGCCTGGCACCAAGTTCTGTTCACGAATTCTGAGGGCTGTCCAGCCCGGCCCCCGGCCCCTCTCTGCCCTCCTCTAGGGGAGCATGGCCTCAGGATGCTGATCTTCCTGTAAAATGGGCTAACAGGACCCAGCTCAGGGGCTTACTGTGACAACCAGACTGCAGCCACACGGTGCTCAGCCCTGGGCCTAGGAGCCACTCTTACCCCAGATTGGGGGCCTCCTGTTTACCATTTCTAGTGGATGCACAATTTGCCAAGCCAGCCTCCTCGCCGGGCACCCAGATCACAGCCAACCCAAGGGCAACTCACTGAAGACTAAGAAACGTCCTCCTGAGATGGCCCTTCCACTGGTGGCTCAGGATGCTTCTGGTGGTATAACCACAGGCTAGGCTAGGCTATGCCCTCTTATCTGCTGGGTAGGGGTCTTCTGACGGGTCTTTCCGATGTAAGAGGGCCTCCATTCCTGAGGAAGGCCAGTGCTGGGATCCTGGCAGCACTGGAATGAACTTCACCTTGACCTGCCCACACCCACGGGCTCCCCTTGACAACTGGTAGAGCTGCTCTGACCTTTGTTGACTCTCTTTCTCCCCCTACAAATTGTCTGTTTCTGACCTTTGCCCCTTTGGTTCTTATCAATTTGCACGAGCTTTCGTGAGGCTGACAATGCCTGGCTTGTTCATCTCACACAACGTGCCCTTAACCGCACAGGGGCACGGTTCTGTGTGTGTGCACGGCTCCGAGAAATGCCGCTGGGTGTGCTTCTGGGCCGATCGCCTGGGGAGCTGAGAGATCGGAGGGTTTTCAGATACCTCGAGTGCGGGAGTCGCCAGGGTGGCGCAGAGGCCGGTGATGGGAGCCCATCTCGGGTGCTCCTGCTAAGGCAATGGGGGACAGGCAGGAGCCACCTTGCAGGTGGGCTTTGGCGAGTTTGGCAGCCCCAGGCCTGCACCTGTGGGTTGCTGGATGAGGGGTAAGGCTGGAGAATTGTCACAGCAAATGGTCCACCTGCCAACAATTGATAAGCATGAGGCCTTCACCTCATCTGTGACATAAACAGTGGGGAAACCAGACCGGTGGCCTTCAACAAGTTAAACACGGTTACCAGGGGACCCAGCCATTCCAATCCTAGGTATTTCCAGGAGAAATACCCATATTCATATGAAAGCTGTCCATGAATGTTCACAGCGGCAGGATTCACGGTCACCAAAAGTGGAAACATCTCAAATGCCCACTGGGTGATGAATGTCTGCGCACACTGTGGTCCATCCACACGGTGGCATATTATTCAGCCATGAAAAGAGTGAAGCACCGATTCCAGCTGCAACACAGACGAACCCCGATGACACAGAACTCAGCAAGGGAAACCCAACACGAAAGGCCACACAGTGTATGGCCCCAGTCATATGACATGATAGGGCTTCTTCCAAAAGCAGGGACAGAAGAGTTCTGGAATGAAATAGTGGTGACACTTATGTGACTTTGAAACATACTGAAGACCACTGAATTTGCACTTTAAAAAAGCTCTTAAGAGCAGCCCGATAAATACAGGCAGAACATCAGACAAAGCAAGGAGCTAACTCACAGGGCATGAAAAAGAACAGTCAGATTCAAGACCCAGAAATCTTAACAGAGAAAGACAGTGACAGTGGTTACAACCTAGTCACGGGTGGGAACCAGAAGTGACCCCGGGAGGACCTTTGGAAGTAAAAGTGGCCACATCGCTGTTACTCCACGACCCTGGGAATCAGACCTTTGACATTAGTGGGCAATAAAACACCCACTGCTGTTCTTGCTGAGCAGGATGGTTATGGGTTAGATCCTGAAAGGTGTGTCTAGAAAACCAAACCGGCCCAGCTTGCCCAGGTCAGTGACCTATGTTAACGCACCTGGTGGCGTCCTAGGAGCCACAGTTCTTAGACAAGCAGGGAGGCCTTCCTGCTCCCTGGGGTGTGGACCACAGTTCTCCTCGCGGGCCTGACGTGGTGGCGGCCTGGGCAGTCTGTATGTGCGTTCCCAAGTGGTCGTGCCGCCTGCTTCTTACAAATAAGCGCGTGGGCCAGGGAAGTTCCTGGCTGGGCACCTCCTGAAGGAAAGCCCCGTGCTCCTGTACCCGCTCCAGGGCCTGGCTCTTCGGGCCAGAAACGTGCGCAACAGGGACTCAGATGGCCTGAGCCTGGGAGGAGCCGATCGCCTTGGGAATTTGCTCCACCACTTCTGAAGTAACAGGGACGTGAACCCCAAACTGCTGCTAACCCCAAATTGGCACAGCTGCCCCAGAAAACATAAATGAAGCTTCCTGGTTTTCCATTCAGCTGACCTACCTGGCACTTGATGGAACTGTTGGGCCCCCAAAGAGCACCCATGCCAGAAGGTCTTTTGGGCTTGCTCAGGCTGCCCAGCCTCTGCTGTCAGAGTGAACGTTCTGCTTTGATGCTGCGGCTCTGCTTGGGAGCTGACCGGTGACTGGCTCGCCTGATGCTTACACCCCTTTATTTTGTTCCCAAAACATCCCCCACCTGCAGCCAAGCCCTGGGTGTGGTTACACGTCACAGCCTCTCTCCCCATCACTGTGCCTAGTCAATCGCGCCACCTTCTCCAGGTGACAGGCAGCCCGCCTGCACGGGTCCCATCCCCAGAACTGGATTCCCCCTCTCCCTTCCCTAACCCACACCTGCTTTGATGACACCCTGGGTGCCTGACGTCTCCCTCCTTTGAAGTGTGTATACCACCCCTGATTCCCTTCCTTCAAATAAATAAATAAGGGAGCACAGAATCCCCTAAGTCTCACACTTACAATTCCCTTTGGCTAAACGACAAATTCTTTTGGGTGTGCTGTGTCCACGGCAGGTGTATGAGTTCCACACGGCAGGTGGCTGCTGTAACAAGTCCCACTACCTAGGTGGCTGATGACAATACCCGGTTGTCATTCAGTCCCAGAGGGCAGAAGTCCGGAACAAGTCTTACCAGGTTGAAGCCCAGGTTCTGGCAGGGCTGTGGTCCCCTGACAGGAGCTGCTAGAAGAAAATGAGTTTCCTTGCTAGGGGCCACCAATAGGCCAGGACTCCTGTCCCTTCCTCCACCATCAGACCCATGGAACACCACAGATCTTGGCTCCTGTCATCAAGCTTCCTCCTACTCTGACCCTCCGCCTCCCTCTTGTAAGAACCCTTGATTACACGTCCTGTGTGGATAATCCAGGCTAATCTCCACACCCCCAGACCCTTGACCTTATCTGGCCAGCCAAGTCTGTTTCGCCAGGTTAGGTAACGTAGTAGCAGGTCTTACGAGGTTAGCACGTGGGCCTCTTTGGGGGGCTGCTCTTTTGCCCTCTGCAATAGGACCGGCATCCTTCCTTGGAGCAGGGCCCAGTGGTGAATACTTTACTTAGGTTTTGCGGGCCACGTGGTCTCTGTCGCAAGGACTTGCTACATAATCTTCAGGGCCTGGTGCAAGATAAACACGTGGGGCCCCTTGCTCACAGGTTAAGAGTTCCAAGCCGGTGGCAGTGGAAGCCTGCACCCTGGGCGGCTGACTACACAGTTGGCACGGGCACGAGGTGGGTCCTGCCTGAGCCATGGCCTCTGGGGCTGTAGCTTGAAGGTAGCTGTGGGTGACCCGCAGTCACAGGTGTGGCTGTGTGGCTAGTGACCCTGTTGGACACTGGGCTTGCACTTCACAGCATCTTCTCAGGTCACAGAATGCTATTCTTTTTCTTCCTCAACCATTTGAAAATGTAAAACTCATTCTTAACGCTGTATGAAAACAGGTGTGGGCTGGATTAAGCTGTAGCCTGCGGGACAAAGTCCCTCCGCCCATCAGCCGCCCACTCCCGCTGGGCTCGGGCCCAGGGGCCACCCTCCACGAGGGGTGGTGTTCTGGGCCTATCCCTTGCCCCTGTGACTGGAGTCATGTGCCTATGTGTCCTTCTCTCCCACGGGGAGCGGCCTCCTTGAGAGCAGGGACCCAGGCTGTCTCTCCTCTCTGGACCTCCTGACCTCACAGACCCTCAGAGATCCTGCTTACAGGCGCAGCAAGGACAACCTAGAACTCCAGTGGCTGCAGTGTCCTCTGCTTCGGACCCCTGGTACCATAGTCACCACTACGCTTCTCACCAAAATAACTCAAAACCAAAAACCAAGAATTTCCTATCCCAAATCCGGACCAGGGAAATAGGGTCCCTGAGACTAAGCAGCCCCGGGCTCACACCCCAGCGGTGTCCTTATGAGATCACTGCGTTTGGACAAGTCACTTCCCTTGCTCTTAGGCCCAGACCTCAACCCCCCACGGCCAGCCAGGCCCTGTGTGGCCTGCCCCTTCCAACCCCGAGGGTCCCCTGTCCTGCGGGGTCTCTGCCCCCGGCCTGGTCTCAGTCCCTAAGTGTGCCAGGCTCCTGCCCGCTGCGAGGCTCTGCATTTGGTCTTTCTGCCTGAAACATCTGCCCGCCTTCATCTGGTGACTCACCCTTCCTGCCTCGGCTGCAGCGCCACTGACTCGGGAAGCCGGTCCCGGTCACCCCCAAAAGGGGGTCCAGTGCTCCCGTGACATGCTCTGCTGACACTCAGAACCTCTGCAGATTCTGCTTATTTGTGTGATTTCTTATTACTACTACTAAGAGTAAGACTTAGCAAGCACTTTATTTGCCAGGCTCTAGAATCTAAGGATTTTAGAATCTAAAGGATTTTAAAAGTGGGTGATTTCATTTTGATTCTCACAGGGCCCCGATGAGGTATTCCAATCACCCCCATTTCACAGACGGGGAGGCTGAAGCTCAGAGAGATTACATAACTTGTTCAGGGTCACACAGTGAGTTAGTGTTGGAATGGCCCTCTTAAGCCTATCCCTGGAGGTTGCCTGTGACTTCCATCAGGGCACATGCCACACCTGGCATGGGCACATTGTATCCCCAAGGCTGAGTGCCTGGTGGACGCATGGTGGATGGTTCATCAGTACTGGTGATGTAAAGAGACAACACCCTAGTAGAAATGAGCACTCCGACTGCCCAGATCTTGGCCTCTAACACCATTCCCTAATAAAAGGAACTGGACTTGGAGAAATGGCCGATTACAGGACCATGGCAGGAAGTGTGTGAGATGAGCCCGGGGCATCTTGTAGTGCCAGAAAGTAAGGAAGTGCTCCAAAGAAAACAAAACAAGACAGATAAACCCCAAACCGGAACCCATCGCTGGGAGGGCCTCAGCCAACTGCAAAGGGCTCCCAATGGCCAAGGTGGAACAATCAGAAAGACAGAATAAAGCATCGCAGGGTAATAACCAAACAGTGAATAAAGTAATAAATGGGGGAGAAGAGAGAAATCTCCCACGCAGAAGAATTCCAAACAATTTACATAGATATCTACCTTAAGAAGGGGGACCATATGTCGTCACTCTTTAGCTGTGGGCCACACACGCGATTTCTGTCTGAAGTACACAATAAGGAAAGGAGTAGGGAAGTAACTTTATAGGGCCTCCAGGCCCACAGCAACAGGCATGGACAAATGCCGATGATCTGGACTTGACAGGAAGTGATGAGAGTGACACTCCACCTCTGGTCTTCCTCCTCCAAACCCATCACCCCAGCCTTTATCATGAAGAAAACATCAGAAAAATTCCAACACAGGAGCATTCTGCAAAAATCCCTGGCCAGTCCTCCTCAGAACCCTCAGGGTCATCAGAAACAAGCAAAGTCTGAGAATCTGCCCCAGCCGAGAGAGAAGAGGGTGCATTGTAAAAGTTCTCATCCCGAGAGAAATAACATTTGTGACTATGGGTGATGACGGAGATTAACTAGATTTAAGGAGGGACTCATTTTGCCCTATGTCCGAAAATCCAGTCACTGTGTAACACACCTGACACTGATACAATGTTACATGTCAACTACTTCTCAAATAGAGACAAGGACACCAAAGGTAATGGGGCATCCCGGATTAGAAAAAGGACACAGGGTAAAAACAAAGGAAACATAAATGAACTATAAACTTTGGTTGATAATGTATCAATATCAGTTCCTTAATGATTACAAGTGTATCATTCTAAGGAAAGATGTTATTAATAGGGGAAGCTGGGCATGCAGAAAATAAGGACTCTGCTTGGCCATGGCTCTGTACAGCTAAAACTGTTCTGAAAAATAAAGTTGCTTAGTGGTAACATTATAAAGCATAGATGGATAAATGAAAGCACTTCGTTCTCCATTGTGGCAACAGTGATTATAGCTCGCTTCCCAAAGAGCTATCGCGAGATTTACATGGGAGAATGTACAGAAAGCATTTTGCACGCAGTCACAGCATTTGACACCCGTCTACTAAATCTGTGCTCTGCCGTCTGGGAGTCACAGGCTCTATGTGACTACATTTAAATGAAGTAAAACTTAGGCACATTAAAAATTCAGTTCTTCAATAGCACCAGCCACAGGTCAAGTGCCCCAAAAGCCACATGCAGCTATAGCTACTAAATTAGATTAGTCTGATATTGAACATGCCCATCATCACAGAAAGGCCTACCAGGCAAATGCTGTTCTAAACAATTATTGGCGTAATTATTTGTTCCATGTTCTCACCTCCTTCAGGTCCTTCTGCAAAGGCCATCTTCTCAACCTTCCCCACTGCCCTTTCTCAAACTGACTTTTCTTCTTATCACTTTTCACCACCTGATGTGGAATCCACTTGATTTCTTTTCTGCCTCCCCACATGGCACGGAGGGTCCAGTGCAGTAGCTGCGGGCAACATGTGGCAGGTGAGCCCTTGCAATGGAGCCAGTCCCCCTGGAGATGCGCCGTGAGTGTAAAACAGTGGAAGTCAAAGGTGTGTTTGGGGCGTTAAAGAAGGAATGTAAAAGATCTCATACATGTAGAAGTAACTTTTTGGACATACGGGCTTACATAAAACACATTGTTAAAAATAACATCACCTGTTCCTATTTTTCTTCCCCTTCACATGACTGCTAGGAAATTTAAATTACGCCCTGTGGCTATCACTCGCGGCTGGCTTATATTCTGCTGGACAGCGCTGGTCCCATGTTACCTGTTAGAAACTTTAAAGATACCCACAGGGTTTGCTTATATTTCTACTGGACAGTGCTGGTGAAGGATGTCACCCCAACAGAGGCAGGTGTTTTTTTCCTGCCCACGGGGTGACTGGCCCATAGTAAGCGCTCAGTAAAATTTTAATGAATGAATGGCAGGCTGAGCCCCTCGAACTCACCACCTCCGAGTCAACACTGATGGAACGCTGACCGCAACCCACGCCCCGCCTCCTCACCACATCAGATAAGGAAACTGAGGCACGGCGAGGTGACATCAGCTCCTGCCAAACCGCACGTAGTGCGGAAACGTCGGGGTCAGCATTCGAACCCGGGTCCTGTCCCCACAAACTTGGCGCGCTGATCTTTCCTACCTTGCTGGGAGGCGGCGGTGGCGGCAGCGGTAGCGCCGGGACAGACAGGCGCGGGGCACACAGCATGTGCCTGGCGAGGGGCGCGGCTCTCTGTTCACCGCCTTGCGCCCGCCCCCGTGGGCTGGGCCCCAGGCGGCCGCCGCGGACATCGCCAGCCACCCGCGTCCCCGCCGGCCGCCGAGCTCTCTGCAGGCGGCGCCGCCCGGAAGTCCCGCCCCCCGCAGGGCGCCCCGAGGCGACGCGACAGCCAAGCAGACCAATGGGAAACGAGTCTTGGCTGGCGCAGGCCAATTGGCGCCCGCGCCCAGGGGGCGTGTCCGGGCCGCGGGCCGGAGCGGGTCGTGCGCGCTGAGGAGGAGCCGCCGCCGCCGCCGCCGCCGTCGCCGTCGCCGCTGCCGCTGCCACCGCTACCGAGGCCGAGCGGAGCCGTTAGCGCCGCGCCGCCGCCGCCCTCCCGCCCCGGAGCAGCCCCGGGCCCGCCCGCCCGCGTCCAGGTGAGGCGGGGGCCTTCGGCGGCGCCCGACGGGGTAGGCCGCGGCAGGCCTGAGCTCGCCTGGTCGGGCCGCGGGCGCCCACGGGCCTGCCCCGGCCGAGGCCCAGGCCGCGCCGGGCCGGGAGGGGACGCGCCCGGGCCGCGGCGAGGCGGCGGGGTCCGGCCGGCGTGGGCGCCGGCGGCAGGCCCCGGGCCAGATTCCTCGGCCGCCGCGAGGGGCGGGCGAGGGGGACACGGCGTGGGCACGCGCCCGGCGGCGGGGCTCGGCGGCCAGGCTCCGGGCTTCTTGCAAGCCGGGGATCCGGGGGCGGGAGAGCGAAGCCGGAGTCGAAGGAGTGGGCTGAGCGCCTCCAGCACGCAGAGGTCACGGCCCACGGGCCCGCTCGCCCGGGAAACCCTACAGATTCTTTTGTGGTCGTTGTCAGAGGCCCGCGGCCGATTCCAGGTCCTTTGAGAAATGTGCAGACCCTTCAGTGTGTAGGGAGGGGGTCCTAGGAGAATGTGTATTTTTTGAACGCCATCTCTAACAAAGCTGCTTTTGGGGCGTGGGACGTTTGGGTTTGTAAAATGTGTGTGTTGAAAACACAAACTGCTCGCAAATGAACAATGGGGGATGGATGCTCTTCCTTCCTTTTCCGGCGTCCTCTGCTGCTAGGCCTATTAAAATGGTTTCTGACACCTACTGTGTGCAGGGCAGGTGGGGAAGAACTTGTGCATACGCTGCCCGCCAAGGGACAGGGCCCCTCTTACCGAAAGCATTCAAGTGGGGTCCGGATGGTCAGTACTCCTGGAGTGGGAGGCGGGAGAGGCTGGAGATGGGTTTCTCATTTCTCAGCTTGATTACTACTGACGGTTTGGGTCCGATCGCTCTTGGTGTGGGACGTCCTGAGCATCTTAGGATGTTGACCAGCATCCATGCCCTGTACCCAGAGTATCAGCAGCCTCCCCATGCCTCCCAGTTGCAAAGATCAAAACTGTCTTCTTCATGTAAAAGTTCCTCCAGCTCCATCTCTGACACCTCGGAATCCAGACCCCCAAGACTTTGAATAAACTCACATGTGGGAGCCTCAGTTTTCTTTTCTGTAAAGTGGGACATGCAAGAATATTGCTGTGCAGATTTAAGGGTGTGGGAAGCTTATAGCATCTCATGCATAGCCTGATGTGCAAGGTAGGCACTGAATAAATCAAATCTTGTTATAAATAACCACTAGTATTTAGTGAGGCTTTACTAGGTACTTGACACTTCACAGACGCCTATTGCCTATCTCCAGCCCTTGAGGTAGGTGCTGCTCTAATTTCCCTTTTAGGCACAAAGAAATGAGGCTTAGATGGGCCACTTTTCAGGACCAGACTCACACAGTAAAGTGGCTGAGGATGGATTTGAACTCAGGTCCTCTGACTCAAACTCCTTACTCTTTTAACCACTGGGTTTTACTACTCTTACAATCATAAGGGTCCAGGGGACCCCAAGAGGAATTCCATTCACTTGTCATGGAGCATCTGTGGGCAAAGCTGTGATTGCATCTGCTTACAAATTTCTGTGACTTCAAGGCCCACGAAGAGGCTCAGATACGTGAACATCTCAAAAGGCAGAAATAAATAATGTTTATGTTGAAGTGCTTGTTTTGAGGAGGCAGAGTCTCGGTTTGGACCTGTTGAGTCTGAGGCCTTGGAGCAGTAAGTGGAAAACGATGGAATTAAGGAAGTACCTCTGTGTTTCTGCTGCTTGCTTTATTGCCCCTTCAGCCCCTGCCTCCTGTCTCTGTCCTGTTCCCGCACTCCAGCGAGAGCGGTCTCTCTTAAATGCACATCTGATCATGTCACTCCTGATGAATTAAAAGTCTTTGCTCGGAAAAAAAGCAAATTAGTTGTTTAACCTCTTCAGTGGCTCAAAAGCTGAAGTGTGGAACACCAGGTCTTGCACATTCTAACCCTCCCTCTCATTTGCATACAGACCCAAATCCCCCCCCTCTTCCTGTCACCCCCACTAATGGGAATGCCGTTCTCCTCCAACTGGAGATCTCTTCCTCCTTCTGCGTGGCCCAGCTCAGGGCTCACTCACCATTTGGTGCCTCCTCTGATGTCCGCTCTTCCTGCGCTGGAATCAACTTCACTCGTTTGTGTCTCCATCCCATTCAATTGAATCAAATTGATGCTGGCCAGTGAGAGACGTGCCATTGCCGCCCATCGCCCCTAGATGGCGGTAGTGAAGCAGTGAGGCCGACCAGAGGCCGTGGATAGGGAACCAGACTAACAGAAGGGAAGTGAGTCCCGCTTCCCTCCGTTAGCCAGCTCTCCTGCTCTGCTGCTGTGTCCCAGGTCCTGTGCCGGCTGTGGGGAGGCAGTGGTGATTGCACCGTGTGCAGCGACCATTTGAGCCCACTCTGCTGAGTGCCTTGATGGCTCCCCGCTGGCTGCTGTGGAAGCACAGAAAAGGGAACTGATCCTAGGCTTGGTGGGCAGAGATCACAGAGTGCTTCCTGGAGGAGGTGAGGCTGGAGGGGGGCCGGGAGTTGGCCAGGCACAGACGGCGGGGAAGGGCTTTGCAGGATGCAGGAACAGTGCTGGCAAAGGCATGCAGGTGGGAGCTCTCCCTGTTCAGGGAGCCCCTGGGTCTAGTGCTTCAGGGGCAAGAAAGGTGGCATGAATAGTGACAAGAAGACGCCTGTGGGTGGTGTGCAGGGTGCGGAGGGCTCAGTGCTGCCCTGCAGACCAGACCTTCACATCTGCACACAGAAGGGAAAGTTGGGGGTGGGGTAGTGCCAAAGGCCAGTGAACCAGTTCGGAGGTGATTGCTTTGTTCTAGATGAGAAAAGTTGTGAATATGACCTGGGGCAGTAGTGGTAAGGCGAGTGGGTGGGTTTGAGATGGGGTTTCGGTGGGGTGGTGGGGGAAGATGCAGGCCTCAGTGGGCTCTTAAACATGGGACACTAGCAAGAGAGAAGGGCAGGGGATGATTCGGGGTCTCTGCCTGGGTGGCAGTAGGATGGTGCCCACTAAGAGGAGCAGAGAGCAGGAGAGGGAGGTGCTTGGAGTGTGGATGTCCGCCAGAAGGCGCCCAAGGAGTAGCGTGTGTGTGTGTGTGTGTGTGTGTGTGTGTGTGTGTGTGTGTGGGCACAGACAGGTGGGAAGGCGCCGGGGGGCACTGGCATGTCCACGTGTTGGGGATCTCGCTGACAGGATCACTGTCCATTCCCACTTGACCGAGGCCCCTGTGTGCGTCGATCAAGTTGACAGTCAGACTTTAAAAGGCTGAAAGCATGAAATGTGACTGCTTACTCAGCGTCATGAGGAAGACACTGCCTCCTCGAGGAACGCACACCCTTCTGTAGGGAAAGAAGATGCAGGCACGTGCGACCAGGTAGCAAAAGGATGAAATGGATGATGACAGCGCCGAGGGGTGTTGGAACGGTTGTCCGGTGTTCCCTGGGTAAGTTTGATGAAAGAGCTGGTGTCCACAGTGAGGGCTGTGCCCAGACGGGTGTGTGCAGGAGTCCCCGGTGCAGCCAGTGGCCGGGTGAAGGAGAGAGGAGAGCACAGAGAGGTCCAGAAATCCAAGGGGACTGCTTTGGGCAGGCAGAGGGTCAAGAAGGTGAGCGTGGCAGGAAAGTATGCTGGGGTCAGGTGGTGGGAGGCTTCTGGGCACAGTCAAGAGGTGGTCTCGGAAGGTTGCTTTTCTGGGAGAGAGTCAAGGATGGACAGACCAGTCAAGAGGCATTTTTGGTACTGAAGAGGCCTGATAGCCTGAACTTGATCGTGACAAGGACTGCTTCTTTATCTTGCAAGCCCAGTGCCCTGATCTGTGCCTGACACGTGGTTGGCATGCCATGTGCACTGGGGGAAGGGCGGGCTGGAATGGAGCTCAGACTAGTGCCTGGCTCCAGCCACCCGCCAAAGAGACATTTTCGCTGGAGGGCAGATTCACAGCGGAGGGAAGAGTCCAGAGTGTCCCATTTGCAAGACGGATGTCATCATGAACAGAAAAGGGGACACAGAAGGCAGAGGAGTGATTTGGAGGGAAAAGACCCAATTGTGATACACTGTGGCTTCTGTGGAACTCAGGTCCATTAGAAACGCATCATTTCGAGGGTCCCAAGGGAAACAGGTCAGAGGGCTCCTTGTGTACCTGGAGGTGCGTGGTCAAGCCTCAGGAGCCAAGCGTCAAGCTGTGCTAGGAGCTGCCAAAGTGGAAACATACCCCCTTCACAGACGAGGAAACTGAAGCTGCAGGGAGGGAGGTGATGGATCCACAGTTGTCAGCTGGTCCACAGTGCTGGAGCTCAGGTCTGTGAGGCTCCAGAGCCCGCAGTGTTCCTGCTGTGCTGGAGGGCCTTGCAGTTCTGGAGAGCCCTGGACCGGCCTCCACCAGCCAGAAAGAACCCAGCGCTCGCAGCAGGGCTGTACGGCCGACCACACCCCCTTGCACCCATGGGGCATTTCCACGGGGCCAGAGCTGGCTGTGCCTGGTCTGTGTCTCCCCTGGGCTTCCTGGCCTGGTGGGTCTGGAGGGTTGGGACTTGGCCGGAGCTGCCCCAGCCAGCGGCTCTCCCCCCTGTGGGCTGTGGGCAGGAGCGAGTAAGGGAATGTGTACCACATCCACTGAGCCTGCCCATGGGGCAGTTGTAATTGGGTCAGGTGGTGTGTGCAGTTTTTTCTGGCTCTGAGCGTTTGTTTCCCAGGTGACCTTACACTCCCAGGGCTTTTACCTTGAAGAACTCCAAGTCTGACTTCTGGAAGGGACCTTAGAAGTAAGTAATCGACTCCAACCCCCGTCCTATGATGTGTGAAGGGTCAGGTCGAGCCTGAGGATGTATTTGACTGTTCTGGTTTTGTTCTGGCCCAAGTAGTTTGGAAAGCCTGCTCTGTGACTGTAAGATAAGACAGATTCTCAGGGATGCCTAGTGGAAAGCAGTCTTGCTGCTTAAGTATGTATCACCTAGGCACGTTTTAATGTCATGTATATACAGCTCCATGTTCATACATATACTAGGTGTATCACTG